ACTTTGGCCACTAGGCCCGAACACACTTTCCTCAGAAGAGAGACTGTTTCAATGTTGTTCAACATTTCAATGACTGTTCAACAATGGCCCATTAAGAGTCAATGGAAACAATTCCTTTTTGCCCCTACTAGGCACAGCTATTGACTTTTTACAGACTTCAGAGACTTCACCCAGAAATTCCTTTCCTTCTGCAATATCAAGCACTGAAACAGATTCTTTCTGAACTTTATTCCTGTCCAGAACTGACTTTGGCACAACAGACAAATCATCAAACTCCATCTGAGTTTCACTTACATCCAGAATCACCTCTGACCCATCAGGAGGATTTTCATAAAACCCCCTTTCAGGTAAACTGCTAGACTTCATAGTCACAAGATCAGAAGCATTCTTTTCCTTGTTACAAGTTTCCACACTGTCAGTGGGTAACAGTCAAATCACCTTCATGCTCTCCTTGTGCCTGGATATATCACATCACCCTGATCAGACAAGGTTGTCTTATCTTTACCCAGCAACACTAGCAAGAAGCAAAATAGAAATACCCGAATCGCTCGGTCTCTGGGAGCTATGTATGACATCAACTGGATGTAACCTATTTGCAATGTCATCATCCCTAGCAGACACAAATTTAGGACCACTTCCTGCCTGCTTTAGTTGGATCTAGAACCAACTTTGGGTCAACTGATAAATTTTCAACCTTCAGAGGCTGACAGGCTTCTTCTGTCTGCTCTACAAACAGAAAAGAGCTGGAGAAACATTCCCCTTTAACAAACAAACAGCTTGGGATATCCTTTCCTCTGTGCCAGAACACATGACTATTCACAGACAACTGCTTGGAGACTGGGGTAGTTCCCTTCATGGGAAAGTCATTACCCCTAACAGACACAGGACCATTTCCTTCACTGTCATAATTCTCCACACTGGTAACAGATAAGATATAGGGATAGTCACATTCCACTAACCTTGCCTTCCCAAACTGCTGATTAGACAAAGCCATCAGCGCAGAAAGCTGCCTATGCCCAACTAAACTTAAGCTTTTTTTACCTTCCCCTCCCTTAACAGATAAACTACTTTCTCTTACAGAAAGAGTCTCATTACATTGAGCTGCTTTAAACAAATCATTTCTACCTTTTTCAGGCTTACTTTCAAAACCTTTACTTGCAAACAATCCATCACTCACCAAGGCTGTACCCCATCCTTCCTCAGTTAGGGCTTTAACCTGATCACCAACTTTAATTTGCCCTAGAGAAACATCTTCCTGAGTCTTGTCTAATGCCAGATTCACTTCTGAGATACCAGACACTCAGAAATTTCTTCCACATATGCACTGCTTCTTTGCACAGATAAACAGCTATCTTCCTCATACAAACATTTGGAGAAACCCTCCATAGGCAAATCCTTGCCTCTAGTAGACACAAGTTCAGGATTATTTCTTTCCTGTGACTGGTTTATGTTATCAACTTGACTGAACAAAGTTTTGAATCATCCCCAATCAAAAGATCCTTAGGCAATAACTTCCTTACACCATTCAAGATGGTTTCTGGCTAAACACACACTTACAGTAAACTCATAGAGGATCACAATATTCACACTCTTATCTGGTAAATAATCTTCCTGTTTGACAAAATCTGCTTTAACAAGACTGATGTTAGAAGCTGTAATTTGCCATAAACAGCTTTTACCATTGACGTTTACATTCTCTGCACAAGTTATGGGGTTACCTTCACCTGAGCTTACAGTAAAATCATTTACATAAAAGGTGGCAGTGTTGAGGTAAATTTTGTACACACAGATAACTGCTTAGAGTCAAACAATACACCAACACTCTTACAAACTGGATAGATTTTATCCCCATCTTTGCTGTTGAGAGGAGCTGGCTTTCCAGGATTTAATTTAATTTAATTTAATTTAATTAATGGAGATATCCCATCTCCTAGAGCTGGAAGGGACCTTGAAAGGTCATCGAGTCCAGCCCCCTGCCTTCACTAGCAGGACCAAGTACTGATTTTGCCCCAGATCCCCAAGTGGCCCCCTCAAGGATTGAACTCACAACCCTGGTAGGATGATACAGTTCCTGTTGTTCCTTCATTCTCTTGAGTTGGAGCTTAAGTCTGTCCACTTTTGCCTTAGCTTCTAGTTACTGCAATCAAATGTATGCCATTCATGTTCAAAACACAGGCACTCTCTTTCAGCAGCTTCTCTTTCCATATCAGCTATTTTTGGTTCATGTTCAAACTGCTGCTGATTTCTTACTGCAAGCGTTTCCCCTGGATCTGCTTCCTTATCACTGGCAATTAGCACTGTCTAGCTTCTTCATTGTTGTACCTGAAAGACTACTTGTAGGTGTTTCCAACTTCACATCTTTCAGTAATACATACATAGCAAAAAGAACAGGAGTACTTGTGGCACCTTAGAGACTAACAAATTTATTAGAGCATAAGCTTTCGTGGACTACAGCCCACTTCTTCGGATGCATATAGAATGGAACATATATTGAGGAGATATATATACACACATACAGAGAGCATAAACAGGTGGGAGTTGTCTTACCAACTCTGAAAGGCCAATTAAATAAGAGGAAAAAAAAAAAAAAGCTTTTGAAGTGATAATCAAGC